CATAAAACGAGAGGGGGCTATTTGCAGGGCAGGATGAACCAAGGGTGCCATAAACGAGAGATAGGACTAAAACTACTGTCCAGATCATCATGAGCTGCTGCAGGACAGACTATTAAAGCTGCTGCTGCTCAATTTTAGGTTCAACGTTCAAGGATGCCGAGAGTGGCTGTGTGCGAGGCTTTTATAAAGGAGAGAACAAAGGAAATACATGTAGACATTATCTATGCTGTCATGATAGGATGGGACCAGTAGAGGAGGGTGTGTTCACAATGAACAAGATGGCCGCGTTTAAACGGGACCTCGAACGGGACAAACTATCAAGTTTTCTAACAGCTAGATAAGAGCGAGTAGATATCTAAAGCATCTCTAAAGGCTAACCCATCAGCTCTGTAAAGTCTGGAAACTTAAGTAAACTCTATAATATTAATTTTGGTGAGCTACAGTGCTTGTCAAGTTTTTGTTGACTAGAATATTTGATAATGAGCTTGTACTTTGATCTTAAGACTCTCCTGGATTAGCCCTCTCATTGATAGAACTAAGAATGTGAGAAGAGCTTGATTCTAGAAGTTTAGCTTTGGTTCTTAGTGACAGCACTATTCTTGTCTCTTTTATTGGTTGATGATTGGTTATTTAGTTTTGTTAGTACTGAGGTGATTGGTGATGATAATTTGCTCTGTTCAGACCCCAACCTCACGGTCGGGGTCTCGGTTCAAAATTGGCAGACTTTATTGTGGTGAATTACCATCATAATTTTAGTAATCCTACATTAGTTTTAAATTGCTGATTTCAGTGGTAAAATAATGGTAAAGAGTCTTGTAACCTATTTTTGAAAAGGTGGATGAAGCCAGCATGGGTCATCAATGTGGTATTGCTTTTCCTAGTCTGCCAGGCCCTAATCAAAAACACTAAGTCAAACCAGGTGTACAAGATCAACGATATTTTAATCACGATAAATTTCATAAAATTTTTATTCTTGCCCATCTTTACTAATAATTTTATTAGTTTGAAAAATTTATTTTGAAATTGAATCTCAGCTACAACAACTAAAAACATATGAAAAGTATTCTCAAAATAAGGCCTAAAAACTAGCTACACAAAATATACTGATGCATTAATTGTATGCATTATAATAGTCTTCTTTTTCAGTCTTTTTCATAAAGTTCAACTTCCTCCCCAAAGCCTTTCTCCTTCCTTTTTATTTCTTCGTTGTCTCCATTTGTACTGTAAAGTTAGCTAATGCAGGTTATGTCATTTATACTTAACATACTTTTTCCCTTTGATTCTTTTGAAATATATAAATGCAACAACAGCAATGACTACCAGGATT